CTACTTGTGATTAGACTGCTACCTACTTATGATTATACTGTTACCTAATTATTTTTGGGTACCCGTTTTGGTGCCTATTTGGCTTGATATTTGTTTCCTTTCGATGATGTTTTCGGCTTTCTTTGGCCATTTGATTGCTTTGTTCAGTGACGATTGGCTTGCTATCATGTCGCCTCTCGAGGATCCAGGCACAAAGTGCCGTTTGTGAGGGCTATGACCGAACTGGGTAGCATCCTGCAAATGTTGCATTGATCGAGTAGTCTAATAAATTAACGCAAAAAATAAGTGCACTCGAATTCAACATACAAGGCCAAAATAAGCATTTTCCTGGAGTGGTACTTATAGATGACCGTCAACACATGTTGATGATGGACACGAATGTTACATGGCGGAGTCTGATTTTTATGTGCACTTTTAGTGATCGTTATGGATTTCAATAATGATGGACTTTTGTCAACCCCCAAGACGAAGGTTGGTAAGCAAACTTTTTGAATCGCACTCAGAGCATTCGAATACCAGGTTTGAGGCACGAAGTGCCGAATTGTTATCTTCACTTGGTAATACGTAAAAGCACAAATTTCTTTATCTCTTCCTTATATTATTCTACCTTTACGTATTACCGCGAGTATGCTATGTTTTGGATCTCTAGAAACCTTCCTCGCATAGTCGATACTTTTGGGTATTACCTTTCCATGTTAAAATTCATCCTATGTTTTCTTGTTTTACTATCGAAAAATTTATTCTTACTTTTGCGTATTACTTTGGATCAAAAAATTGGATCATACTTTGACGCATTACCTTTACGTATTACTGGATCGAAAATTTTGAGTATTACCACATTGAAAAATTTATGAGTCGGAGACTCTGGGCTCTGCCCATTGCACTTTTGCGTATTACCTTTATGTATTACCGCATTGAAAAATTTATCACGCTTTTGCATATACTTTGTTCAGAATTATGCGACACAAAAATCCCCTATGTACGGTCCAGGTACCTTGTTATTATTTTCCCGCAATTATTTTTCGATTTGAATTTTTTTCCGCACTTATTGTAAGAGACGACAAAAATCCCCTTACCTGAGATGCAAAACTAGTTGAATATAGCAATATCCCCTCACTCAGGGTATTCTACTATTTAGCTAGTACTTATTGGAATTGATAGTCAGATATGGTTTTTTTTTTCGTAAATCGCGTTACTAGATGAGTCTGAGACTCTGTGCTCTGCACATTCTGAAATAGAGTTATTGGCAATCGGTATGGAATCAAAAAGATTCTGAACCACATCAGTCATCTTTGGCTTATATGATGGAAGAACCGGAGCTATAGGATCGCGTGAATACCTAGTTATTTCATCTTGATTATCAAAACCAAGTCCGTTATATGGCTTTCGGTCAATTTGATATGAATATTTCCAAATCTGTTGTCCTTTAGATCCTATCAATTTTCGTTTGCTTTTTATAGTATAACCGCAATAATTACCAACAATTGCATTAATTGCTTTTATAGCTGATTTAAGGTCTGGTGTTTCTTTTGCACGAGACTTAAAGCCAAAGAGCAATAAAGATTGATTTCGAAGTTCTATAAACCTTTTACGAGATGTCTCAAATGCAACTTTCACTTGGTCGTCATAGAGAATTCGCTCATCATCTATACCAGTAAAACCCAATGATTGGAAAAGCTCCCGTATAGCTTCCCAATGATTTGCCGAATATGTTTTACGTATGTCCTTTGCTACTGAATCCTCGATATTATCTTTAGTGTTATAACAAGTATTTTCCCATTGCGCAATGTCCTTGGCCTTTAATCCTTCTATCGCACTGTTTTCATCATAACCTTGTTTGCGAAAATGGGACAGACGCAAGAAATGTTTCCTAGGTTCAGGTGGACAGAAGCGCTCCACAAATTCTTTATTGCAGAGTTTATTCCAAGTCTCGATACTCATATCATTTCCGCCATAAAGATTCCACATATAAAAACGCTTAAGTGCCATAGTATCTGCGATGGAACGTTCCTGATCAAGCTTAAGGAATTCGGCTTCTTCAGGGACGAGATTCCGGGAAGTAGCAACTGCTTCAAAATCTGTATTCTTGATAACTAAAGCTTCAGTCTTAATCTCATTACGAACTTTTTTACGATTCCCTATAACTCCTTGGCTTTCATCCATTTTTATTAATTTGAGACTTGCGCCGGTACTAGCAATAAGACTACATGAAATCTCGATAAAATTTCTTGCAGAGAGACGTTTCTGATGTTCAACCTCAATAAATGATATTACAGCGGGTGACTGGTCAAGTTTATAGGAAATAATATCTTTGTCCCATTCACGATGCCCCTTTACCGCTGTAGGTAAATCATTAGGCCGAGCAACTACAAGTTCTGTACGAATATTTTCATGGCCTGGTGAACGGAACAGCTCATTGGAATTTTTCTGATAAAAGAAAGAAAGTATACGCTTTTCACAATCACGAATTCGGAACATCATCTGGATAAATGCCTCAACATTAACTGGGGTTGCAATATTCGTAATGCCTATAACCATATCAAAGTGATTAGTTTTTTCGAAAGAAATGCCCGCTTCTACGGTGTTTGTATAGGCTACACAATCGAGTTCACCCCAAGCAGTATTAATATCTAAAAAGTCCTTTTTTCGTTGTTTTCCATCCATATCTCCATAATAGGCGCGAGCTTTGATAGGCAAATTATCTGGCCTACGTAATTTAGAAGCAGTTTTTACCAATGCACGAGCCGTTACAGCACTTGTTACAACAAATGCTACGCGTTTACCTTGCCCAAGTGACTCAAATCCTTTCCGCATAGCTTCTGCTCCATTATTTGGGTCATAAAGAATTTCTATAGTCTTACCTATAAGAGGCTGAAATTTATTATCAATCACTCGGATATTTTCACCGCGATAAGCCTTGAGAAAGATCAATGTTGATTCATTTGCAAATGCGTCCATTGCCAACACGTGTTGAGCGGATTTTAATACATCACGCATTGCATTTTCAGATTCGCGTGCTTTTACACCATTATTCATTTGGCGAAAAATTGCATTGGTTTCATCCAAAACAGCTACAATCGGACGGGCTGAGAATTTGATACGAGAAAGGCTTTCAACTTGGACTATAATAACATCCCATTTGTCTACAGATAAATTCCGTTCATCTTGATAATTACAGATTTTGAGCCCTGACGATTTAAGTTCATTAATTTTACCTTGTGATTCATTACTAAGAGTTTTTCGATAAGAGATCCAAATAATGGAAGGTAAATTTGCGCCACTTTTAGTCAATGAATCGATAATTATTCTTAGACCTTTTGTTTTTCCTGTCATCATAGGAGAGCGGATAAGAGTTGTGCTAGATTTTTCGCTCAAGAAATCCGGATAAGCTTCTGGTGCATCTTCCATTTCCTTCACGTTAATAATTTCTCCGGCTAATTCAGGAAGTGGACGTGGATTTGATACAGCATTGGCTATTCTTTTGATAATATTCTGTTTAGGTAACTCAACTGCTCTCGTTGCTTCACCAAATAATAACCCTTTGTGATCTGGTTTATATTGTTTTTGCCGAAAACATTTGAGTATAAAACGTCCGTCTTTTAGAAGAAACCCATATAATTGATTTTTTTCATGTTTAACGTCACATATAGGACATTCTTCAGATAATTGCGCATTAAAATTTATAAAACCCTTCTCGATAGTTCCAATCTCGAGCCACCCATACTTTGCAATAACCAGATTAGCTCCTTTACTCAGGGCATCTTCATCTTCGATAGGTTGGAATTTTTTCTCTGCGGACTTTTCAGAAGAAAAGGTTCGTGGCCAGATCACAGAATAATTCGATTTTGGTTGAACCAAATAATCCTCTAGCGAATGAAATTTATTTTTGATTGAAGATATCGCAGGTCTTTTAATTCTTTTTTCTTTTGCTGATCCAAGAAGCCGAAGGCTAAAACGTGACTTGGGAAGGCCTACATCAATAAACTTCGAGTAAGGTTTTCCGACTAATTCGATAACTTTTTCCGTAAAGCCCTTAAGATCTCTATAATCTACGAAACGAGCGTAAGGAAAAATAATATGCCAGCTACATTTGTTTGCATCTGATGAACTTGCTAAGGCGAAACTAGGTACCATGTCAAAAGTGGAATATATTATATCTGTAGAAACATCTAAAATCCTCGATATCAAATCCTGACGAGTAATTTTTTCGTTGTCTAAATAAGGGATTTTAGGATTAGTAGGATCAAGTTTTTGTCTCGCATCGATATCAAGTATTAAGCGAAGGGGTTTGTTCCCATCAATACATTCATGTGTATCTGGCGTTCCATAAACTTCGGAAGGATGATCAATTACCGTAAAACCTTTTCCTGCTGTCCGAACTATATATTTAGAATTAATCTCTTTTGGACGATAAGCTTCGAAAAGTGCAATATCTTTTTCAAACGACCTTTTATTGTAATATCCATCATCATAACCTTCATCGTAGTCCTCGTCATAGTCTTCATCATAGTCTTCGTCATAGTCCTCGTCATAGTCTTTATTATTTTTCTCTGAATTATTGGACGGAAGTAATTTTTGAAAGTAAAAATGATTTATATTACTAGGCTTGTAGTCAAGGTCTGTTAAATTCTGGAATTCGACTAATGGTTGCGCATCCATAGGTGAGCTTTTTGAATCGTCAAAAGAATCATTCTGAGACTTAGCTGGCAGATTACAGTATTTCGCATATTCTTCAAGCAAGATTACAAACAAAGCGTCATCCTCTTGTTCAGAGACGATGAGTGGACTGGAACTGAGATCGGGATTTTTTTGCGTAGATTGTATAGACGTCATATTTTTAAGATTATTATTACGTTAAATTTTCCTTTCGCTTTTTATTATAAGTGAATCGTATAAATATTCAAAACCCCAGCTAAATAATATTTTGATTTTAAAGATTCGAATTCACTAATTTGAAAAAAATAAATTTTATATAGTAAATACTCGGTATAAATATAGTCTACATATTCATCCCATAATTACAATGTCAAGAGTTGTTTCAAATCTCGTAAATCAAAATAATCTAACTCCTCAAATGAGCGTATATAAACTTAATAATTATGCTGAAGAATTGGATAAGGACCTGAAGGATTCCAAAGCGCGTGAACACGCTAGAAATAGATTTCGAAAATTAGGTTTTAGTGAAAAGCAAGTATATGCTCTTGTCCCCGTTCAAACATCCGGGAAACGTGTAACAGGAAGAGAACCTATTAAGAAGACTGCATTATATATTATGCAAAATAATTTAAAGGTAGAAGAAATAAATGAAATTGCGTATGATCTAACAAAAACAGCTCCCAGTGAAGTAGCTCAATCTTCACGTCTTGTATTGCTCCGAAAAGAGTTACGTAAACTCGGAGCTGATTATCATATATTGGAAGCTACAAGAATACCTGATATCACCTATGAATCAAATAAAAGGCAGAGGGAATTGCAAGAACTACGTGAAGATGAGGGATTCGACTGCCCAGACTTCTTTACTCTAGAAAAAGTACAAGAGCGGTTAGAAAAATGTAATACCGCTAGCTCTCCTTCAATGCAAAACTTAACAGATATAATGATAATGTTATGTATGAGACCGGCAGATGTAGAAAATCTTCGAATTAATTATTACAAGCGAAGTAATGATGAATGGTATAATTCTAAATATTCTTGGTACTGTACCGGATATGCTAAAAATAGAAATGAAAAAAGCGTACCTCGACCATTTGTATCAATGGAAAAGAATCCTATACGGGCTAGAGAATTACTTATCTGGATCCAAAAATCAATACCGGAGAGATTTCTATCAAAAGGAAAAGGTGGTAATGTAGACGTCAATCCGATTAATAACTTCTTAGCTTGTCATGGTATTAGCTCATCGCATTTAAGAAAAATAGGTTGTAGTCATGCCGTTATAGTACATGAAGGTAAGAATAATGCTCAATGTAAACGTCTCTGTCAATTAGCAGTGAGACATAAAATAATTAATATTGCGTCAGACCATTATAGTATAATGAATAGCGGACCTAGTGTCAAGTCGCATAATAACCAGATGCTGTAACAGAAATCGTTGATATGTAAAATTACTAATTATGCGTTACTTCTTTATTAGACGTATATGTATATCATTTTCTATATCAGTAGAAAAATTAGACTCTGTTTCCGATTTCGAACCCGAATCTCAAATTTCTACACCTCAGCCTAAGAATAACGATCTTTCAAAGAAAGTGCACTATAATCCTTTTGATGTCCAAATCGCGGAAATAGATTCTATGTTAGCAGAAATAAATGTGAAGTAGACTATCCGGATTTATATGCTGTATCCATTGCTGTGGTGCGAAAAAAATAGGTATATAGTCATAAAGTAATAAGCTAGTATTTCATATGATCAAAAACGTACATTGATACACAAAATTTCTTTAGTTGTACTAAAGGCTTCGCTATTTTTTGCCGAAGAATCATGCTTCCACATCTAAAGTTACCCATATTCAATAATGGCTAAAGATCGCTCCTTTAGTTCTTTTTTATATGGAGTAGTAGGAAGCTGCATAGTTTTTTCAAAGTCTCGCTTATATTCTAGAAAATCTGCTTCTAGAAGATCTGCCATACTTTCACGATTTATTTTCCAGTAATTAGAATAATCCCGCAATTCAAAAGCAATATTGGATCTCCACTGTTCTAGCTTTTCTTTAGACATTTCAAATTTTTGCTGTAAAATCCCGATAAGAGTATCTATATCTGATTCACTTTTGATGATAAGTTCCGGTATTTTCGGGAAATGATTTATAATATTTTGGATTTGGACGGCTGTTAAACTAGAAATAGCGTCAGCACTATATGTAATTTGCTTGATTTTATCTATTCCTATTCCTTTAAACAATGTATAAATATTTCTGGCCTTGTGGGTTTTCATACGTAAATACTCTCTCTTGATACCAGGAAGATATGGTTCCATTTCATTGTAAATCTGTGTTCTTGCCATTTGATCGTTGTTAATTTCGTTTTTTGAGCTAATATCTCTGACCTTTTTTTCGAATTCCTCACTATAATAATACCAACGTAAAATTTCTTTCTGTCCGGTTTTTTTAGCCTTTTCAAATAAATGAGCTAAACGTAGTGTAGAAGAAGCAAAGCTTCGAATCTCTGATTCACCCAGAGCCAGGTCATCCCCGTCTAAAATATTTTCAGTAATTCGTTTATCAGATATAGAATTCGAATTGCTTTTCTCGTTAATAAACGCAGATAACTCATGAATTAAACCCTGTTCCACTTTCTGATTATAGGGAATTTTTAGCCTTGCTAGCTCCGCTATTTCAGTCGTAGGGTTTATTTTGGTAGAAATGACACTTTGTATTTCAGAAGAGGAAGAGATTTTTTGTATCGCTTCTTGATCTTGAAGTTTCTTTTCTCTGTTTCCCTCCCTTATCATATTACTAACCCTTTCCTTTTTGTTTAGATCCAGAAAATCATCAATCTCTTTGTCTTTCAACGATTTAGTTAAGTCGGAGACTCTGGGCTCAACCCATTCTACAGGGGCAGAAGACGCGTTATCAGATGTATTTTCTATCTGCTCGGAAGTTACAGACTCATTTGTTTCGCAGTGAGATAAAGTTTCTTTGTTAGAGTGGTCTCCAATAGGTAGAAAAGTTGCTTGTGGTTCTGAATAATCTAAGGATGAATCGGGGATTTGAATCTTTGCTTCCTGTGTATTAGTAAAAGTTTGAGTTCGCTTTTTGAATTCCTCAAAATCATATTCCAATTTAGTTACTTTGACCTTAAGCTGAGTATTCTCTTCCACAGCATGTTCTAATTCCGCAATTCTAACTTCAAGCGCTTCTTTCTCTTTTGCGGTCTGTTCTAATTCTTTGACTCTAGCCATAAGCCTGGCATTTTCTTGTTTTAATAAATTTAATTCGGATTCCATGTTCGATAATATTTTTTTATATATATAAATAGATTTATTCAAAATAGAAAAATCAGGTGCGCGTAAAGAATCTTTACGCCGATCATTCTTGGCAAGAAAAATAGTCAAGCCTAAAACGAAAAAAGTTAATTGCAATCTTGATCCGGATTTTGATGGACCTATCATTTACATTCTGAAAATAATAGTATACAATTATTTAATCGTATATAAAAATAATTTTCAATGTTATAATAAATATTTCTTATCTGAAAATGCGCCTTAATCTTCTCTGTTTTACGAATGAATAAGAGGTATCTATTGTTGTTATATAAAAACGATTAAGCTTATTTTTTTTAAACATTTCAGGGTCTATGAGAAGTGCCAAGATTCCGGATCCCTACCTATCAGATGAAATGCACAAATAATTATGATCGGCATAGACAATAGATCGCCCATAGAGAATAAATCATATATTCTCGGAAACCTGTTCGCGTAATTCGTGAGACGTTTTCTAAATTCTTAATCACTGTACTTCATTCGAACCAAAAGGCTAACGTGATTGATGTGAATTTTATCAAGATCACCCATAGAAAAACGCTTAAATGTTAAATTATTATAGAAAAAATAAGCGTTGACCCCCCCCCCCACAACTGATTATAAAAATATCCGAATGAAAATGAGGGTGTAGATTACGCAAGTTAATTAATTGTTCTATAGGATTCCAACTTTCTTGTTTAGACAAACCTTATTACTAAATTTCATAAAAATTTCTAGCAGGTTCGAAGACCATTCTATTGGTGAAAGAAAACATGATATGTTTCTTGGCAAGTATTATAAATACGACTTGAATCCATTTCACTATTCTTTACTTCTCAATAAAATATTCAAAATTAAAACGAAAAAGTTTAAAAACAGACTTTAAGACATAATCAAAATAAACAAAATTATATTATACATATTCTGTTTTTCATTCAAAGGTATGATAATCAAAATAACCATATTACCTATGCACTGACCATTTTTCTTTTTTTTTTTTTGACGTATATTTGTTTCCATAAATGTTAATTTATTGTTTCTTTCATAGATGTCTCAAATCAATGTTTCGGATGTATTACCTTCATTGTCCTTGATCGTCATTCTCGCGTGGTTTTCTATTGGTTCCATTAAGAACTATTTTAATAAAAAAAAACCCGTGACGTTGATATCTTAAATGTTATCAAGCGACAAGTTACCGAAGAAATAATCTTATATGATTCTAAACTACATGCCGATTTTAACGCTCGCCTCACTTCAGAACTTAATACACGTGATACTATCTTAAATGCGGAGGCGCAGAGAATCTTGTCGTCAATTATTTCTTTAACCACAAGACTTGATAACATTGAACAAGTTTTTGAACGCTATAATAATCATTTTAGTAAAATTTCAACCGAATTCGATTCAATTAATGAATCTATCGCAACATTCCATAATCTACTCAATCAACGTTATGCAATCGTCCAAAGAATCGAACAAGATCAGCAAAGTGAAACGAACCTATCTGAAGCTTCTTTTAATTCACCCAGTTCCTCTGCTAGTTCTACCGATTCTCTTAATTCCTCTGCTAATTCTTTTGGTAAGATAATAAAGCTGGATTTGCTGATTACAAATGCATGTAATGCACTAGTCTGATAAAAAACCGACTAATTTGATTTTTATATATATATATAGGCTCAAATCAGCAATCATTTTCAAGAATTTCATTAACTGTCTGGACACGTTTTAAACAAATCTTCGATACGAATATGGCCATGAAAGGTTATAATCTTGATGAAATGTATTGTTCCGTAGCTATGCGCATTCGTGAACTTGGAGGAAGTATTAAGCCGATAACAGTAAAAAATTTTTATAATAGAAGTAGTGGTTGTAGATCGAATACCGTAGACCAGATTGGTTTATGGATAGATAATATGGAGTAGTAAGATGGAACCGCTATTTTAAGGTTTAGGGGCCAGCGTGATTCCTCCCTTTAAACGTTTACTACTCCAATATTTTTATTGTATTAGTTTGTATATAAAAAATAATAAAGATATAGTTATCATAATTTTTTTAAAAAAATAAGTTCACGTATCAAAATTTTTCGTTCCATTAAATGTAATTATCCAGATCCATACCGATGTCAGCATCTTTGAAAACGTGTTTGACACTAGTATCGTCCATATTCCAATCCTCTTTTGATATTACCGCATTTCCATAAACGAAGGAATTCCCACTTACGTGTCTGATGTATGAGATTCAAGTCTCTCATTTAATCCATAATCTTAATCTTCTACGACTCTTTTCTTCTATTTTACTTCCAATGCATGAAATGCACTTTTCCAAAAGATGTATTCTCTGATCATAATTTCGTGAAAATCGGATAAAAATATACATAACTCCGGATAATCAATCAGATAATCAGTATGCATGCGACATTAAATTTTCCAACTAATGGGGCTGTGCAACGAGATTATTTTTACGTAAAAACTGCCTGATCATCAATGCATGCATGATTTAACCAAATTCGATTAATTAGCATTCATGTACATCCATTTTCTTTGTGAGAGAAATCTGGCGTAAATACGCATTTACATTGCTTTATCTATTTGCATTATTCATCCGATAAATCTAGGAAGGAAAACGTTTAAAAAGGGCAGTATTTGTTATTATTATTCATGATTTTTATAATACTATTATAACTACATTTTTTCTGTTTTAAAAAATGGAATTGTTCTTGGTTGAATTCAAACCAATCTCAGCAATAAGCATCTTCACTGCTTTATATAAGCGAATTGAGACAGATGAGTGGACATATGATCGTGATGCGGAAATTGAGAATTTTCTTGGAGTAGTTGAGAATGCAATAAATTTGATTTCTCTAGACGACGAAGAAAGATTACAAAAGCTTTATAGTTTTGGAGATGGTGAGACTTTGGAACAGAGAGTAAGTTATCGTAATAAATATTAATTAAGAATATGTAGATGTGATGGATTATTGATTTTTCCTTGGGAGTGGTAAAAATTCACATATGTATAATGGGGCTGAATATTACATTTTTATCGCTTTCCATCACCGAGACAGATGAAATGCAAGATGGTATATAAACTGTGAATGCACCACGTCTTCATAGTGTAAATACTGTGCGGTCGTGGCAGTAGCCGTTTATATACACTAAACATTTAGTATGGATTCTGTTGAGGTTATAAATTAACCATTGGCTAGCCTATTTTGAAAATCTATATGAAAAAGGAAAAATCCAATCTGATCAGCGCAATATATTTATTATTATTAAATACTTCCAAATTTTTTAGCTAATCGATATTCTTTATTTTTTAGGTATCGGAAGCATTTGATTACATTGTATCTTCATTAGAGATCAATGCTTTGGTACGTTCTACTTTATTTTATTGTTTCAAAGAAAATCTATATTCATCATAAACGATTATTTTTTATGATCTCAGAATGTGAAGAAATCAAACCTCGTAAATAGAACAAAGAAGTCCGAATCACCACAGAATATGGAAAAACCTTGGCTCAGTGATGCAAGGAAGAATTTCGAGATACTGGAAAATGGAGTGCATAAGGTTTATGTTTAAGATAATAAGGCTTATTCTTTTTTTGGTTATCTTTCTAATGATTAATATACGGAATTTAGTTGGCATTGGTATCATCAGGGGATGAAGAGATTATGTGGAAAACTGTAGAGGGAGAATTGCAGAAAATAAACTTGGAAAATTTAGGTTATGCTCATCCGCTATCTTCTGGAATAATGGATGATAGCTCGGAACCTATTACAGAAATGCCAGAAGAATTGCGTAATATTTTTAGATCATCAAGTAGAAAATATATAATACCAATAGATGCCAAATTGCAAGCTACCTGTGAGAAGTTCGTCCAAAGTGAAAAGAAAAAATATCTTGAGGGGCCCCCTAAATTAGCTGGCAATGCAGTATTTGGTAAGTTTTTAGATAGGCCCGAAATATTGCAGAAGTTGACTAATCAGATGTTAGAGGCATTCAGTCGGGTCTGGGAATCCCCAAAGTGGAGGTTATATGTTACATCAAAGGAGCCAAAAATAAGCGAAGGCTCATATGTTTGTGAGGTTATTTCGCCGTTGGTAAATATTGTAATGAGTAATTTGCCTATAGAATATACTATATGGGGAGCTTGGTAAATATGATTTAGTATTTTTAAACAAAAACTCTCTTTTTTATATACCATTAATAATACGCTTTTTAAAAAAAGGGGCGATGAAGCAAGTTTAGCTAGTGCAGAACGGAAAGGATCATTTAAGCATGCACGAAGACCTGATTTTAGAGTTGTTATACGAATAAAAAATAAGCCTATTGAGTTTGCATATCTAGAAACTGGTCGACCAGATTCTTCTAAGGATAAGCAAATACGAGATCATAAAAAGCTCAATAGGCTCTCAAAAGATTCCATTGATCTCACAAGGAATCCAAAATATGAAAGATTGTTCAGGAAAACGGCAATGAAAGATATATTATCAATATTTACTATTAATGTCGTTGGGGAAGCATTGGAGCTTCGATGCATGGACCTAAAATCAATATATAAAAATTGCTTGCTTGAACGAGCAATTATCCCATTACATATCATGCGTACAGATCCGGAGAACGTTTACCATATTATCCACACGCTTTTAACTTTCAGAACTGCGATAATATGTACAATATGCAAAATAATGGATACTCGTGATGATTTGGACGAAAAAATGTCAATTACGTCTGACCTATCACAAGCATCAACATCATCATTATCGACTATTACATCCCCACCAAGCTCGCCATCTCGTAAAAGAAACCTCAAAGAATTCAAACAAAACTAATTGTCATTTTTTTGTATAGGTATATCCCGTATTTTTTTTTTTTTTTTCATATAAATAAACTGACTTGGAAGTCGATTCGCATATATAACTTCATTTACTTTTACATTAATGATCTCCAATTTTTCAAAATAAGCTAATTAAATTATTGCACATTAATATCCGATAATTTCCCACTACATGTTGAGAATTTCCAAATCAAGATTATTTACCTCTAAATATCTGCATAGTTCTACATAATCAAAAATCGCTTTCGCATCTTGCGTATTCTTATTTATTATAGTTATGTGATCTTCATCTTTTCTTTGCATATACTTATCCCGGTTTAAAAATTGCATATACTGTTTAGGATTATCGGTGAATATTCCTAGAGTTTTACGTCTGTTATTTTTAGATTTACGAGGCATATTAACATATCTATATAAATAAATGACTTCAATTTTCCCGATTAATCTCAGATAAAAACACGAATGAATATAAATGGTTATGTAGGTCTTGTTTTATTTTACGAAATAAAAACTTTACTGAAGTAAAGACATAAAAATAAAAAAAATATAGCCCAGAAGGACGTAAAAATATATCATAAATAAAAAAATTATTCCTTTGGTTTTACGAGAAGGTGAACTTGATCCGAATTAAGAACCGTATTGAAATAATCAGAAATCTCGGCTGTCGAATTCGCAGGAACAAGTACGTAGAGATTGAAATCAGTAATGCCTTGATTCAACAGACCACTAACTGCACGTTTAAGCGTAATCATAGTATCTTCCTTACATATTTCGATTTTAAAACAATTCCCGTCTGGAAAACTACAATTGAGATTAATAGGATTGTTCATTTTGCGTTTCCTAAGTATAAAGTTTTATAATGAGTAAAAATTCATTTTTCATGGATGCATAGAGTATGCTTTTTCGAAAGATAAAGCCGCAAATAATGTATAATTAACCATATATTACCTTATAAAAATCGCGGGAAAATGGAAAATGATTCCTCACAAATCCGGTTTATTTATATTATTTCATTCGCTAAATCTGAGAACCTGCTAGAAGAAAAAATTACATGATTAGTAATTACAATACCCAAACCATTTGTCAGATCCTTTCTTCGTAAAGCAAGTCAGGTCACAACCGCCAAGCACTAAATATATGAGCCATAGACTATATTTCGCCTTTTATGGGAAATTAAACCTTTCAGTCTGACGATCGCTTTTTGTAGAATGAAAAATAAGACAAATTTTGGCGATCTCGGAGATTGTAAAGATCTCAAGTTCCATAACATATGAGTTTTGATATTATTACTGATAAGAACAATAAACTTTCCATTCTTTTATCCTTTTCGAGTTTCATTAGCATTTCTTCTTATCGGAGAAACAATATACAATAAGAAAAGGCTTTATTATTAACATTATATATGTAACGGTAGAAAATAATTTAGCGGTATCACAAATTAATCTCGTGGAACAATAGAGCTGGCATTCGAATATTAAAATGTTTACGTTTTAGTCTAATCCATATACATTACTTTTTTTTTGTTTTCTCATGCGTCATCTGGCTATTATTAGAAGTTCATAGAACGTGTAAAAAAAGGTCAGTTGATATATTTGTGCGATCATATGCAGGTATATCAAAATTGGATTAACTACACATGGTTTAGATTCTTGTTAAAAATTATGTGTATTAATATATTTTTTCGATTTGTTCCTCCTCGTTTTACTAAAAATGATTCAACTAGAATTTACACAAAAAATGAATCGCGTTTTAAGTAACATATACTTGATAAAATTAATATGTCTAAAACCCTTAATACATTATAAATCACATAATCACACTCATATAATCGATAAATAAGTCATATAAAAATGGTTACTATTCAGGATTTATGTGGTTCTAAATGTAGTGAAGAAGAATGGTCTGAATATTGCCGGATGCCAGTAGTTCGCACTAATGAAACTCCTAGCGAGTGGAAAGAACGAATCTGGGTTCGCTTACAGTATTTTAGAGAAAATGATCTTTTACCTTATGAGAGTAAAGATTATTTTAAAGCGAGAAAATTAATACAATTTTCAGATGGTAACTCATATGCTCCTTGCATAGGAATTGTTATTTGTTTATCTTGTAACCAATTAGTACATACTGGAGAGTATATTAAAAGAATGGAGAGACACTGGAAATTTTCATGTACCGGTAATAAATATTGTAGAATAAATTATGAGGAATATATGAAAATTAAACAAAAGCCTGAATCTGAACGCAATTTCGATGATAACATTGCATTAAATTATTATGAGCTGTGGAAATGCAATGCAATCAGTAGAATCGAACGTGCAAGGGAGGTTGGAAAAAAGATCCGAGCATGTACCATCATACAAAAAAAATTTATAGAATATTATTATCGCCCTGATGGACTTTGTGCTACAGAGTTAGCTAATCATTATAAAATATTATGGAGCATTCGAGAAGAAATGCGTCAGATTAATAACGTATAGATGGTTTGTGAAATAAAATATTTATCTATTTATTAATGTATAACTTATTTATCTATTTATTAATGTATAACTTATTTATCTATTTATTAATGTATAACTTATTTATATATTTTTTTATTGTCTTTAACTTGTTTCTAAAAAATCGAATTAGCGGTTGTTAAAGATGATTTACTATATTTTAGCGGAGCTAACATGGCTAATATTATGATTTACTATATTTTAATATTATGATTTATTATATTTTAGCGGAGCTAGTATGACTAATATTATGATTTACTATATTTTTAGCGTGATTCTAGCTCGACTCTAGCACAAGTATGATATTTTACATATAATTATATAGAAAAAAAAATTAGCGTGTCTTTAGCTCGACTCAAGCTCGACTTTAGCATGATTCAACCATATTTAAACTCCGGTTTTGGATTATTTTCATATTTTTCATTATTTTTATAATTTTCATAATTTTCATAATATTCATAAAGATTTTTCCATTTTTCTATACGTTGAATATAATTATACTAGCTACAACATGCCGGCAAAATTTAATCAAGCATATTCAGAATTAATCCAGAAACTACCACCCTCACTAGTGCATGAGACTTGGAAACGTCTTATTTTCAGAAAGCGGGATCCAATACCAGAAGAAGAGGCTAGTGCTGTAAATCCATTAATAGAAGCATTTTTAAGACATGAAGTTAATAGGTACCAGAAAAAAATAAAATTTCAGCGTCGAAGTTGGCCTTCATTTGAAAATTTATCGTGTATATATAATAACGAAGTTAACAAGGCTATAAAAATGGGCAATAAAGAAACTCAAACTCAAAATACTGAACCGATTTGTATATGTAATCATGAGGAGGAAATTAATTATCGCGTTAAGAAAGAAGTTAAAGTCTTATTCCAGCACTTACTGAAATTTAATGAAAGAACATTGGGGCAATTTATGCAGGAATTAGATAGAGATTATAAAGAAAGAGACGATATAAGTAATAAATTACGTTGTGAAATCGAAGAAAAAAAGTTAGAATTACGACATGCAGAAAAAGCACTTGCATATATGAAACAATAGCAGAGCCTTTAGTATAACTAAAGATTTATTTATTCATCCTATGTATTAGAAACTTCGAGAGGTTGATCCCAACCAGCACGTATAAAAAATGGATCATTTTTTTCTCTTGTTAAATCTATGACTATGAATTTACGACCATGTAAAAATTTATCAATCACTTTAACTACATTACGCCAATTATCAATATAACGACGAAGAATTCTAGTAAGATCATCTATATTACAACTACCATTGAAGAGTACTATATAATCTAAATTTTTTCTTATTATTGATGGACAATCGAAAAAACTTTGAGAAATATAAATCGAGCTAATATTAGAATGTCGTCCTTCAGTAAAATAAGGAATGATTTTTTCTTGTATCTTTTTAGATTCGCTACATACATCTTCAAATACAGCAACTGTACTTCTTTCAGGAGAATATGAATCTATACTTGGAATTTTATCCGGTTTCATAGTCCGGAACGTGCGTCATCTGGCTATTATTAGAAGTTCATAGAACGTGTAAAAAAAGGTCAGTTGATATATTTGTGCGATCATATGCAGGTATATCAAAATTGGATTAACTACACATGGTTTAGATTCTTGTTAAAAATTATGCGTATTAATGTATATATATATTTTTCGATTTTGTTCCCATATATCAGTATAACATTAACTATTTTATAGATTATCTTCTCGTTTTATTAAAAATGATTCAACTATATAGAATTTACACAAAAAATGAATCGAGTTTTTCTTAACTTATAGGTTAATAAAATCACATATAAATTATTAAACTCATTATAATCACTAAATATGTCTGGTTTTGATATTACAACTATTATTCATGATGGCGACAAAAAAAGACAATTACCTAAACCTTTTAATAATCGTCCTGGGTATGATATGAAATATGTTATGACAATTTTTAATAAATATGATTATTATAATAGTGAACGAATTAAAAATATTTTTGAGATTGAAAAATTATACGATAATTTGTCTATTGTAAAACAGGGTGAAAATCTTATCCAATGGGCTATGCGGGTTAGAATCGATCTTCAAGAATTGTTAATCAAACAAAAATTTAGCGTATATCATAACTTCTGTCTATTCGCTTCTTACCCCGGAGGTAAGTTGGAAAATTTTAATTATTATAGACCCAAACCATTTAAGAATGGAACCGCCATTTGTTTTGGTTGTTGGAAAATTATTCGTGTTAATGTTAATATAAAACCTAAAAAAATATTTGATCGTCGACGATACATAGAAATTATAGAAGCTAGAGATCTGATGCTAGATCATTGGGATCACGAATGCGATAAACCTAAAACCGATTTTGGGCGTGCAAGGATTATACAAAGGGCTTGGAGAAATTTTAAGAAGAGACCTGAATCGTTGGCTGCTAAAGTCTGGAATGCGGTAAGAAATGATGGCACTCCCGACGAAGAGAAATTTTTAGGCATAACTACTCGCAAAGTAAAAAATCTTCAAACCCGGGATCAATTCAATCTGTGGCGTAATAATATTATCACAATGTATAAAAAAGAAAAAAACTTTGATATGCTCTTCATCTATCAAAAAGGATATGAATATGAAGAATATTATATTCCGGGTGATTGGATAAGTTTCAAGAAACATCAATTACAACAAAGATTGAGTAATCATCTTAAAGAGTTGTTAAAAGAACAAGGCTATAGAGTAGTTTGTGGGAGATCTTGGTATGTTATGGTAAAATGGATTGAGAATCCAGATTATTATGCAAATCTCACATATCCGAATATCGTTAGAATATAATATGTTACTACAATTTTAGCCGTGCTAGCTCCGCTATTTACCGCTATTTCTGAGGTAATGGTATCTTTTTTTATTGATAACTTTGTTAAATACCTCCAGTTTACGAGTTTTGATGGTATATTTTTTATATGAAATCGAAGAAAAAAGTTACAATTGCAGAGGATAAAGATAAGTTATTCAAGCTTAGCGGAGTTAGTTTCACTAAAAAATATCGATCATAATTTATTTTCTTTATTACGCAATTAATGATTTGATCTCTTTTTCCAGGTTTAGAGGATTCATCCAACCGATTCTAATGGACATAGGATCAGAAATTGGTACAGTAGTGTCAAAAACTATAAACTCTCCATTCCGCAAATATTTATTAATGACTCTGGAGGCTTTACGTGGATCTTCTTCTATGTATTGTCTTATAATTCGTGCAATATCTTCTGTAGATCCTCCGCCATTAAACAATGCAAGGTGCGTTGCATTTTCACGAATAATTTTTGGTACTTGAGTGAATTTATGCGAAATATAGATAGCAGAGATATTGCTATGGCGACCTCTGTTAAAGAATGGAATAATACGATCCTGGATTGACTGTGGTTCGGTGCATAAATCCTCGAATATAATCACTGTGCGTCTTTTTGGATTTTTGAACGCTTTTAGATCTGGGATTTTATCAGGGGTAAGTGCAGTAAATGTAACATCTTCATAATACGGTTTGGAAGGATCTGCTATTTTCTTATAGAAATTTCGAAGTAATCGGTATTTGGGTTCATTGGTATGGTGCCCTACTAATACAATATCATTACATCGTATATGACGTTCACCAATTCGTTTTTTTTTCATTTTCATATCATAATATTTATCTCCGGAAAAGAGATATACCACCATATTGGATTTACCGGTGTTTGATCTTCCAGACATTACAATATAGAATGGCCACTTTGGAGCGTCTTCATCGTCTAAAGATTTCTTCGACGGTTTAACTTCATCGGTATGATATATATAATAGTATTTCATTCTGTTATAATTTTCGAGATAAAATATTAGACACAATTTTGAATATATTAATATTTTTTCTTGCCAAGAATGATCGGCGTAAAGAATCTTTACGCGCACGTGATATTTTTTCTTAATACTAATACTAATATATATATATAGTATAAACATGACGAACCTTACTGAAGCTCAAATTTACGCAGAAAAACGTGGTGGAAAAGCTCTCATTCAAACCGGTCCTACAACTTTCTTATTTTCGTGTCATAGAAACCACTTATGGGAGAGACCACTCGAAGTTATTACGAAGAGGTACGACTGGTGTCCGCTATGTCCTCATTCGAAAGGGGAGCGTACATCAAGGTATATATTCGAAGATTTGTTAGGAAAAGAATTTCCACCATCCCGACCTAAGTTCTTAGAAGGGTTACATCTTGACGGTTATAATAAGGAATTGCAATTAGCATTTGAGTTCCATGGCCAGCAACATTTTCAGGTTGTTCCGAAGCATTTTCACCCGAATGGCAAGACTGATTTGACAAGTCAGCAACTACGTGATCAAAAAAAGCGGGATATATGTAAGCAAAAGGGTGTATGCCTCATCGAAATACCATATTTCTCGGATATCGAAACTTTTATAAGAGAAGCTTTAAGCAAGAACGGCTACCTCTAAGACTGTTCCAATTGATAATGGTATATTTCGAGGATACACTGGTTTTAAAGTCACATGGTTAACAGTTTGGTAATGATATTTTTGGATAAATTCATCTGGTGGGTACTCTAAACTTTCCATATCTACGATTTGCAATTCTTCGCGCTTAAATGGTCGACGTGGATTTCTACCCATCAAATGTTTGGTCGATTCAACCGCTTCTTTTTCAAGATAATATAAGACCGGTTGTGGTGGTTTTTTTCCAACAACGATTTTTCTGATTCGATAGACCCGCAGGCTCCAGTATGGGTCAGTTGCTCGACGTGTATGTCCACCTTCTAACTCACCGGGTTTTAATAAGTATCGAACAGTAGTACCCTTTGGTATTTGCTCTTCGTCTTCTCCAATTGGTCTCTTGGGTTTGATAGATGGTTTAGAGATCACTTCTTTCAACTTCATAGCATGGGAAGGAGTCATTCCGATTAATCGTGTTGGAGTATGATTCATATTGTCAAAAATTACTTCGAGAATCCTATTCCATAATGTTGAGCGTTCTCCTGCTGGTAATTTAGATTCTATTGCATATTGAATCTTGTATATTATTTCTGCTAATCTTCGTTTCAATGCTTTGACCAATGCTAGACTTTCGAAACTATAAAGGTCGACAACCCAGATAGAGACATTATACCGTTCCATTCCCCGCGAAAAATTTCCAGAGAATTCCCTACCGCCATCCAGCATCAATAATTTTGGCCATGTAAGGGGGGACGTAGGATCTTCATATATTTCTTTTATAGCATTCCAAACTTCTAGGCTATTCTTCGATGTTAGAGAACGTCCATTTTTATTGCGAGTTGCGACGTCTATGACTACCAAAGTGTAAAGGTATATTTTTTCACCATCCTGATCATCATAACCATGGGCTAATAGGTCACACTGATGAACTTTATTAGGAATGGATACCTTCTGGAATCCTGCTCCCGCTTTGCATTTTTGCGGAAAGAGATGTATTTGATTAACATACTGGTTCTTTAACCATTTTTCAATATCTCGTAGGCGAAAATGATTGTATCCTTCTTGTTGACATGCTTGTAATAATTTTTTAGCATTTGTAACAAATCCAGGTACGTGGTAGTAGATTATACGAAGAACGATTTTTAATTCCTCATCTGCACTGATTATAATACTAGGTACACTCATTGCAATGATTGCGAAATGTTATAATCAATACTATAAACCAAGCGGAATTTTTTGACATGGATTTCGATCCAGCTTATTTAGCATTGCTGGAAAGTAATCACGAGTTGAGGAAGGTACTTAATGCGGAGACAATTATAAATCAAAAAAACGAGAAAAAAATTCGCGTTCTCATAAAAGAGCTAGAACAATGCAGTAGGACCATTTCATTTCAAGATACCACAATCATAGCTCATGAGAAAGAGATCCAGGAACTCAAATCCCAGCTATCTGATTTGCAAAAGCGTCTCCGATCTGCTTTAAAGGATGTAGATAAAACAGAGAGTTATATACTTGTTCGAGAACAACAGTTGGCTATACTCGAAGAGGAAGTAATCAAGTTAAAAAATAGAATTCGAAAACTTACATCTCGGAAGTATAATAAATCCGCAGAAATCAAAAATTCACTTGACATAGTTAAGATGGCTCAACCGAATCCGAATCAGATTCAACCACCAGTTCCCAATGAGATTAATACAATATTTGATACAGTTCTGGATGAAAATGGGCATATTGATGATTATATCCGAAACTACCAAATATCGGCCTGGAATCAAAGAGATATTCTAAACAAAATTATTACAGTTAACGATTCTGTAAATAGACTTCGGGATATAGCTGAGTGGGAAAATACCCAAGCGCAAGTCCAATATCAGCAAGATGCTAATGCAATTAATCAGTTAAATAATTTTGCGACCCAGCTTCAGACCCAAAATCAGGGAGATGCGCAAATTATCATACAATTGCAGGCTCAGCTGGATACGGCGAATAATAACTTCGATCTTCTTAACCAGGCCCACATTTTTCAGACCGGGCAACTACAAACATGTCAAGCCGATTTACAAAATTGGCGTAGAAAGCATGCAAAGAGAAAAGGTAAACATATCAAGCAAAAGACGAAGCATAAAAAGTGGGAAAATAGGGAAAAGGATTCACGGCTAAGAATAATAAATTTAAATCAACAAATTTTAGCGCTTCATAATAATCCACTAAATATGACAGCTATAGGTGACTTGACTGGTATTACACCTTTACTCGCAAATGTTGAATTCTATGATGGACAGGTTCAGCCTGATGAATGGTATAATAAAATTCACGCCATACTAGCTATTCCTGCGATAACTAATCTCAATGATGCCAATAAAGTAGCTATCTTAAAGGGTAGACTTGGCAGAAAATATGCAGATGTACCCAATCAACATGCGGGAAATGCAATTGATACTCCAGCTCGCTTTATTGCATGGTTACGTTATAAATATCAGACAGAAACGATTGGAACACAGCAAGTTGCTCTCCAGAGGTTAGCTTATGAAAAATTTTTACCTAATGATACACCGGAAACATATGAGACGAGAATACACCCCCTATTATTGGGTGTTGCTAACGATGATGCTAATGCATTGTCATTTCTTATGAATCATTTACCTGATGAGCTTTTCAATCGAATGGAAAGTGCAAATCCCGCAAATAACGATGCATTTTTCACCGATCTCAAGAAATTGTGGCTCAAACGTAGGCCTTCTTCATTTAATTACGGAAATGCGAATAGTATGAATGGAATGGCATTTCAACCGCCTCAGCAAATTGTACAACAACCTGTATTCCAACCATCTCAACAAATCGTTCAACCACCTCCGCAATTCGTTCAAAAAACGCCTCCAGTATATGATTATCAACGAAATTTTCGTCCTAAAACTGAGAAGGCCAAGTATTATGAAGAGTTAAGGAATTATGCAGATATGGGTCTCGAAGCCGAAGATAACAGAGTACTAGAACCGATGGAAATTGATTACGCGATAGTCAATATTGCGGGTAAATTAGATCAACTTGAGGGATTGCCTAATCCCCCCAATTCATCAGTAAATCTGGCTAGAGATCCTAGAGTAAGTACTAGGCCGATCCAGCGCAAATGTGAAATTTGCAAAAAGCCGGGACATACTTATCGCAGTTGTCCCATAATTAAAAATATGATAGCTAATAATTCCAAGAAAAAAATTGGTCGTGTGAATTTTGCTGATGGTTTCCAACAAAGCCACTCTGATACAGAAGAAATTCCTGACGAATCTGCTATTTCCGATCAAGAAGATGATGGTGAATTTGATGATGATGTGCCTGATGAGGATTCCAA